CCCATACGGTTAAAAGCCGGATGGGGGCTATTTGTATGTTTGAGAAAAAGCTAAAGGCTGCTCAAACAACCCCCATACGGTTAGACGCCGGATGGGGGCAATTAAAACAACGTTTGGGGAAAAGTCGAGGCTGCTCAAACGACCCCCATACGGTTAAAAGCCGGATGGGGGCAATTTGAAACAGTTTGAGCCAAGGCTGCTCAAACGACCCCCATACGGTTAAAAGCCGGATGGGGGCTATTTGTATGTTTGAGAAAAAGCTTAAGGCTGCTCAAACAACCCCCATACGGTTAGACGCCGGATGGGGGCAATTAAAACAACGTTTTGGGAAAAGTCGAGGCTGCTCAAACGACCCCCATACGGTTAAAAGCCGGATGGGTGCAATTTGAAACAAAGTTTGAGCCAAGGAATCTCAAACGACCCCCATACGGGTAAAAGCCGGATGGAGGCTATTTGTATGTTTGAGAAAAAGCTAAAGGCTGCTCAAACAACCCCCATACGGTTAAATGCCGGATGGGGGCAATTTGAATGATGTTTGAGAAAAAGCAAAGGCTGCTCAAACTACCCCCATACGGTTAAATGCCGGATGGGGGCAATTTGAAAGATGTTTGAGAAAAAGCAAAGGCTGCTCAAACTACCCCCATACGGTTAAATGCCGGATGGGGGCAATTTGAAAGATGTTTGAAAGCAAAGGTTGATCAAACCACCCCCATACGGCTAAAGGCCGGATGGGGTTACTTATGACTAGTCTGCATAAAAACAAAGTTGGCTCAAAGGGGTCCCATGCGGCACAATGCCGGATGGGAGTGTATTAAACATTCCAGACGGCAAAACGCCGGATGAGGGGGATTTTTGGACTTGTCCCAAGCCAGCCCCATGCGGCAAAATGACGGATGAGGGCATTTTACAAGGGAAATATTTCAAAAACCTCACACGGAAAATCCCGGATGAGGTAGGGGTAATTCAGAAATTTCGGACAAAATATACCCAGGCGGCAAAATGCCGAGTGAGGTCCTTAATCTAGGGGCAAAGAGGGAGAAAGCAGACGGTACCTTACTAAATCCGCACTCAGCCGGAAGGCAGATGTCAAGTTCTTGCGAAAACCGGATGCTCGAAAGTCTTGAAAGAAGCAGCCGGTATCAGAGCTTCTCAGGAAATTTTTGAAAATAAAAAGTGCGGAGGAAAGAGGTAGCCACCCTACTTATAGAAAGAGGCAGAAGGCGAACAGTCACCTTCTGCACGAAAATTTGAAATTCAAGGGGGGAAGCAGACGAACCGTCACTTACCCCATGCACCCTACGTCTGTCACAGATGACACGTGAGTTTGCCACATCTCATCTGTGAGGGGCAGATGTTTAGGGTGAAAATACCCTAAGACACGTGGCCCAATAAAGGCTTGACACGTGTCAATCCTTCAGCGGTCTGCAAAGGCCCATTTCCTTTGCAGACACGTGTCCCTTATACCCTAATTGAGGTACAGTTCTCCCTTACTATAAATAGTAAGGGTAGACCTCATTTATGAGACACATACATTAATTGCAACCACAAAAAAAAAAACAAATAAAGTCCAAACCTACGGAAACGCTCTCGAACCGAGAAGCTTTTGCTGTTCTTATTCCACTTCGAAAAGATACTAACTTAATCTTCGGAGGCGGAACTCCCACCCCCCATCCGGAGTCTCCGTTACTTGTGCAGATACCGGCGCAAGAAGGAAGTCGGCTAGGTGCAGGTACAGGCGTAAGAAGGAAGTCTGCTAGGAAATTGTAACTCTCCCGAAGGACACAGAAAACCCCCAAACATATAGGTATGAGCCAAACATACCTCCCCCATAGGTTTCTAAACCACAACCTAGAGGTTTGATGTACGGATTTTAAATTATAAAAACAATTAACCAAACACATAGTATGAGTTTGAACCATTCTAAACCCATACTTTATACTATATATAGATTTCTTGAACAAATTAAAACACCCCATTAATCACACGTACCAAACGCTCCGTTAGGTAATTAAGCTACTTGTGATTGTGCTCGAGGATTTCTTTATGTCTTTCGCATCTTACAATAGTTACAAACCAATTATTGGATGACAAAGCTAAGGTTGGCATATATAAAATAATATAATCATAAATTTAAGCTAAGGTTGGCATATATAAAATAATATAATCATAAATTTAAGTGGCTTGTTGAGGATGATTCAGCTAGAAATCTAGCATTTTGTAAGTACGAGTGCACCGTGGTTGGCTAGAATTTAGTTTACTGAGTGTGAAGAACACTACAAGAAAAATCTCTTTTTGTAGTGATTATTTCGTAGCGATTGTACATTCGTTACAATATGCAAGTATGTTTGTGAAATAATTAAGGATGTCGTATCATTTTTACAATCGCTATGGTTTTCTCATATAAAATCGATACGGAAAACATAATACTCCCTCAGTCCCAGTTTACTTGCAACATTTTGACTAGACACGCTTGTCGATGCACATGTTTGACCATTTATATCTTTTATCATATATTTATATAAGTTATACGGAGTTCATATTAAGAAAATATACATTAAAATAGACCCAACAATAGCTTACATGATTACATTGACTTTCATATAATAGTTAAAAAAGATGGTCAAAGAGAGATGTGGGAATAGTGCAAAAAGTCAAACCGTTGCGAGTAATTTGGGACGGAGGGAGTATTACATATCAACACTATTTTTTCACATTTATATAATTTTGAGAAATCGTAACATTTACAATTGCCACTAAATCTTAAAAATCGATACGAAAAACCTTTTCAACACTAAATATATAAATACTGTTTGACAAAGAATACATAAAATATGTCATAGTTTATTGGTGAACCATTTAATACAAGAGTTTGAGGTTGCATGTTCGAATCTTGTAAAGATCATACACATTTTTTTTTTAAGAAAATGAGTTAAACATTTATAGCGATTGAAATCGCTACAATAATCACCACGATTGGATGTAGTTTGTCGTATCGATTATTGAGGCCAACCCCAGCGATATTGAAAACCACTACTAAAGGCTAAGGCAACGGGGGATATTGTATCGAATGACCATTCGTTGGGAAAGTTTTTTGTTGCAATTACAATCGATACTAAAGGTTAAAATAATCGCTACAAAAAGGTTATTTTCTTGTAGTGGAATTGCTAGAGATGAGATATTTTTGTGTGATATATTTTCCGTATTAATATTAGGAAAATAATATTTTTAGGTAATTTATGTTAAGATACGATTTAGTAAATAATATATTAGTCTATTTAGTATTATTTTATGGGAATTTGTAAGGTGTTAGGATTATTTTCTAATAAAGTGGCTAGATTATCTTTTGTATAAGTACATGATGATTTATTGGTTTAGGGCCTGTTCATATTACTAAATTGAGCTGAACTGAACTGAACTGAACTGAACTGATTGGAGCTGAACTGAACTGAACTGAAAAATTAAAATGCATAAAACTGAATTGATTAGAGCTGAACTGAACTGATTGGAGCTGAACTGAACTGAAAATAAGTAAATATAAACAGGCCCTTAGTCCGGTTAGATCTTAAAATAGTTTACCAAAATTTCATGTGCCAGTGGGTTATCAAATTATACGGTATACCCACTGGCGGGATTCATGAGTTTTTGGTTTATCCGCTAAAATTACTTAATTATTTAAAACCATGTTCGTGGTTTTAGTAGGTAGTTTGATATATGATACTGAGTGAGTTGGAGAATTATTTGTTGGGGTGTGATTTATTCACATCAACTTTGTTAGACGATGGTTTGTAAGTGTTTAAAGATCAAATGAAGTGGCATCATATATCCCGATGTCAAGAAAATATATTTTATTTTGGCAATGTTAAAAAAGTAAGGAAAAGAAAAAAACGACTCTCCCTGTGTCGTGAGACAGGGACTTTATGTGAGTGTGGTTTTGCTAAAAGAAAAAACCAATGTGAGCGTGGTTTTGCTCATGAACGGTAATGTGAGCGTGGTTTTGCTCATGAAAGGTTTGGACTATTAAAAGAAGACCAGTTTAAGGCTGGATTATTTTAAATTCTATTTTTTCTTAAAGTAGCAAAAAAAAAAAAAAATGGTTTCCTAAAGAAGTTGTTTTATTTTTTTGTGATACTATGCTTAAGTTTTTTTTTTTGTGAAATAGTTTATATTTTGAATGAAATAGGTTAGTTATTTATTTATTTATAACTTTTAGTTTTTTTTTTTTTTTTTTTTTTTTTTTTTTTAGGGAAAGATGGGAAGCGATTTTAACTTTTAGTTATGTTCTAGGCAAAAGCTAACGAACGCCGGGGCCGTTGGATAAGCTAATTAAAAGTAGAAAGATTATATTAAAATTAACATTAATTACACCGATCGACGCGTGATTTTGTCATATTTTCCCAAATTAATATCACTTTAGGTAATATTTTAAATGCTTATCCAACGCCCCCCGGGACATTCGTTAGCAAGTTCCTATGTTCTATGTTGATTTAGTTATGCTTTTATTACTTTACTTTTAGTTATGATTTTCTAGGGAGGAATTAAAGGAAAAAAAGTACAAAAAAAATTTAATTTTTTTTAATAAAAAATACGAGTAATATTTTTTAATACAAAAATTAATGTGTTTTTTTTTTTAAAATTATTTTTTAAATCTTCTACCTTACGTTTTTGTTTTTAAATTTTCATTGTCACTCGTCAACAGTCAATTCAATAATCAATACGGAGTATCAATTAGTGATTAAAGTCCTGCAACTTTTTTGTTTTTTGTTTTTTACAAGAACTAAAGTCACTAGTACCGCCAATGTGATACTCAATTAAATAATATGGACGGCCAATGTGATAACATCGTACTGTACATGGTCTGATAATTATACTAGCAGTACACTAGTACCTAACTACCCACGTCCCACCCAATATAATGATATAGACATATAATCGATAAAAGGAGGTACCATTTGTCCAACAACCTTATCTATCCACATCATGTTCATTCAACAAGCTTTATAAAATAAAATTGAAATTATAAGCAATCACTAATCATCAGTATTCTCAACAAAATATTACTCTTTATTTCTAAAGCCTCAATTTAATCATCCACTTTAAACGATACCATATATCATAGTACATTCATAATTTCGAATGCAAACCGTCTCAGTTTTCTCTGCTATTGCAAGAAGGTAAGCTTATACTTCGTATTATATCCTTATTATTAATGATGATTTAAATATTTCTTACACTTATCACTTGGTACTATGCTTTTCACATTGATAATGATTTTTGTATTGTTCATAGTTTTGTTTTTTTTTATTTTTTTTTTATTTATTTATTTATTTATTGTAAGATGGACCCTACTAAACCGATACGTCTTTTCTATTGTTGTTAGGTTAGAAGGCAAGGTTGCTCTCATCACAGGAGGTGCTAGTGGAATTGGAGAATACACCGCTAAACTTTTTACAGAAAATGGTGCCAAGGTTATGATTGCTGATATCCAAGATGATTTGGGCCAATCCGTTTGTAAGGATTTAGGCCCATCAATGGCGTCATATATCCATTGCGATGTCACTAATGAAGCCCATGTTCAAAATGCAGTGGACTCAACTATGGCCCAACATGGAAAACTAGACATCATGTTCAATAATGCAGGAATAGTAGACATTCTCAATCCTAACATCCTTGATGTCACACAATCCGACTTTGAAGAGGTTGTCAAGGTGAATCTTGTTGGACCATTTTTGGGCACCAAGCATGCGGCTCGAGTAATGATTCCAGCTCAACAAGGTAGCATAATCACGACGGCTAGTATTTGCTCTATCATAGGAGGTATAGGAACCCATGCCTACACAAGCTCGAAGCATGGGGTGTTGGGTCTTACAAGAAATACTGCTGTGGAACTTGGAAAGTATGGGATTAGAGTGAACTGTGTATCACCACATTTGGTTCCAACCCCTTTGACAAGAAAAGCTAATGTAGACGATGAAACTATATCTAAGGTCAACTCTAGTCTTAAAGGGGCTTGGTGTAGAAAGGAGGATGTTGCTAATGCGGCTTTATTTCTTGCAAGTGATGCTTCAAAGTTTATTACTGGACATAATCTTATTGTAGATGGAGGGTTTACCATCATGAATCAAGGATTTTGTATGTTTGAATAATTTGTGTAATCATGACTAAACGCCAAAATCTATGGTTATTTTAATTAGTAACGATCTATAAAAGTTGTAATTGTTCCTCTGTCCTCATTTCTGTTTCAGTTACTAATAATGTTCAACAAAGAACAGTTTGATAGTGGCTTTACTCAAATTCATACTAAAGTTTCACATTACAATTCATCTACTGAATCAGATCATTCAGATGACATCCACCGGAAACAGACTACAACAATGCTAATCTATTGGTTCAGTAGTTCTGTAGAGGCCACATTAGGCACAAACAGGTACAGATTGATGCATTACATTATCAGTATACCAAAAGTAGATTAGCAGCAAAAGCAGTAGAAAATAGAATATTACCGTGCCTTCACCAGATATTAACAAATATACTACAAAAGATAGCCGCCATTTAATTACTTCCAAAGGCCTACATAGCACATCATCAGCGCATCTCTAATGGCACTAAAAAACAACCAAAAGTGCAAGCTCCTTGAGAGATCAAAAGTGCAAGCTTTAACAATGCCAATTCCCAACCCTGCAAAAAAAGGAAAAAAGAAAAAGAGCAATTCAATAGCAGCAACACATATTCATGAGCATATCATATGCAAGAAATCTAAAGTTTTCCCTTCAAACTCAATGGCTAATGAATGCATTCTAAGCTTCTCAATGCCAAAGTCAGGGTCCTTGAATTTACAAGACTCAATCAAAGGATCTTCTTAGTTTAATAGTGCTATTATTGAAGTTGGACTGTTATATCAATTACAGATATAATCCCCAATGTAGATAAGTTGGACTACTAAGCATCAATCATTGACTAAATTTTACATGCAAGTTGTGAATTAACAAGCAAATGAACACAACCATTGGACATTATGAAACTTTCAACTATTAGTCACATATCTTATGGCAGAGATGGTTCATGAATTTTGGTTAGATTGGAACACATAATGATGATGACATAAGTCTTTTGTGTGGCTTTCGTTCTCTTGGATGCAAATGAGTGTTTTAATCTATACATATCATGCATAAGGTGTATACTTGGTCTAAACGAAGTATCTTTTGTCCAACTTAAGTGCATCTTATTATTTTTTTTGTATACATGGATTTTAAAAAAGGATTTAACACATTCTTTTTCCTCATCCAATAGTGTCATTGAAATATGAATAATCTCAGAGTGAAGCAATTGCATGTTAGCAATAAATCATGTCAACAAGGATGAAACCAAAAAAATAAAATAAAAAGTGTAAAGACAATATTCAGACCAATGAAAGACAAATTTCATACTTACAACACGCAATTCAGATCAAAATCCAATTAGCTGGTAGCATCCTCAAAAAAAGATCACAGCTTCAGCTTGAACCCCACAGAAAGATAATTATCCAAATCATTCCTGATGAAAAGAAGGAAGTTCTTTAGAAGGGTCAATAAGAGTCATTACATAGAAATTAATCTATCCAAGATAATAGCAAAGCAAAATTACTAATTAGAACCTATTTAGTTCCGGAAAATAAAATTAACCACAAAGTAAGAGAAGAATAACACAATTTTTGTTAAATGTCAAACAATCAGAAGAAAAATGGTAAAGATTTATTACTCTATTAGTGATAATAGCTTCCAAACATAGCATTATAACTTGAATAGACATTTAGACGATAACAATCTATACTTAGGTAAGAAGGGGATTGGAGATGTAGGTAGTGGCCTCGGCTTTCTAGACATTAATCGTAATCATACCAAACATAAGCCATGAGTGTATGACTGCCACACAACTAAGAGCATATACTATGAAAGTAACACTATCACACAGCTAAGATCATTAGGCAGCTACTTTAAAAATCACCAGTAAACTCTTAAGGAATTTCCCCTGCATAGCAAACATTAACTAAACAAGTCACAGAACAACACAATCCAGCATTGAACAACAAAATATATATGCAAACAACATAGAAGAAAATTTGTTTACTTCTTTTTGTTCTTCTTTGATAAGGTTCTACTTTGAAATCGCGACTCATCTTCAACTGAGACAAGGCTGCCCACGAAATACTCCATCCCCACAGGTTCAAACGACATCCCCTGAATTGTGTATTCATTAAATTTCTCGGACTTCAAATCATACCAACCAAGTATCCTACCGTCAATCTCTAGCAACACTCTTTGCTCGTCGGAGTAAACAAGAGGCTTAAGCTGTACCATACTCAACATCTTCCTAGGCTCGCGAATACTGTATACCTTAGCCCAGGAATCATTCCTTCCATGCTCCTTCATTACCCACACCTCAGCAGATTCCAGTATAGGATCATGTAACTCATAAGGAGAAAGTTTATTAATATCACATGAATGATGATTGATAAATAGACTTAAACACCCACCCAATTCATACAAACGCATCAGCCAATAAGTCTTCAGGTTAACATCATATTTGGGGCATTTCATAAGCGAGAAACTCTCGGTTCGAAGATCGAAACTTGCAATAAACTTACACAGTTTCGAACCCAATATCCTTCTTTTTACCATGTAATGTAAAGCCTCATTAACAAGAACACCATTGCAATTAGCATAATAGAGATAGTATGGAATACTTTTCACGCATTTCCACGAACTCTCTTTCAGGCTATACACTTTCGCTTCATTTCTGGAATTCTTACGGTTTTTAAGCCCTTGAATCATCATCAAAACCTTGTAATCGTCGTTCTTGCTGTCATACCCGAACCCGTAAACTAAACAATCTTTGTCAAGGTCTATGGTTGGAATAGAGGGGAGCTTACGGTGTGATCCGGTAAGAGGATTGTACAAGAAGACGTCGTTTCCCGATTCGTCGGAAATGCAAACGACGCCGTTGCAAGAACCAATAAAAATCACAATTTTACGAGGTTTGAGGGGGTGGCGGAGCTCCGAGAAAGAGATCCGATTAGGTTCGAGATCGAGCTCGGCGGAATGAAGAGAAGAGTAATGGAGGAGGAGATGACGATTGGAGTTGGAAATTAGGGATTGATTGAGGTGTAATTTGATGAAATTAGGGTTTTTGATTAGGGAATACCAGGATTTGCAGACGCATAGGAAGCTAAGAAGTGATTTAACAGGGAGTTGAGAGAGAATTTGGGTGATAATTTCAATTGGGAGATCCGCCATTGTTGATCAAGCTTGAGCTGAAGACAAGTTATGAGTGTTTATGAAGAGGGTTTTGAAATGAAACGACAAAAGTGGTTTTATAGTTCTACTCTAACCTTTTCCAATTCCCGCTCTTTTTTTTCCCTCCTTTTCTTTCCCTCTTTATTTTATTTTTCTCCTCACTCTCTTTTATTACTTTCCCTCCTTAATGTAGGATTTTAGGGCCAAGGGATATAGGGAGTTGACACAATGATACAAATATACGAGTATATAGCTTCGTTTCTTCTTTTTTCGTGTTTGTCAATACATGATATAGACTTCCTCTATTTATTAATTATTCAACATTAACACGTTTAACGTGTATGAGTATAATTGTCAAATGATGGTGACTTTGCCTTCAATAGATTTGACTTTGTAGGAAAAAAGATAGAATTTGGTGTTAACATTATGCACAAGCTCATAATGTAACTTGTGGCATTGGTTAGATTGATAGCATGAATTCATGATTTCAATTTAATAAGGTTGTAAAATATAAGCTGTGAAACTCAATCCAACTTGGTTCAAACTGAAGTTTTATAATTAGGATAAGTGAGTGTATAATTTGGTTTTTTTACTACAGTTACAAATCTACCATAACCTATCTATGCATACATTTGACAGGATACACTATACAGGGGTAGCAAGTAGCAATCAACCAAATGTATGATGTATATATGAGCATATATGTATGAAGCATAATTTAAAGATGCGCGACTTTTATTTTATTTTACAGTGACATACAAAAATCATCGGACTAGAGTTCATAACAAAAATGACAAGTTTCCATAATAATTTACTCTGATAAAACAAAGGCACCAACAATGAACAAGTCTTCTGCTCTTATCTAACCATTGCCTAGCTAGCTAGTTGAAATGGCCGGAGTCAATCCAACCTGGAACAGGCCAAAAAATGCTGGTGTATTTAGAAGGCAAATCATCAGCAGTGATAATTCTACCATCTTCTAAGGTATAGACTCCAAAGAATTTGCTAATTCTGCCACAATACTCCGGCTTTGATTTGTAGGCGTTTAAATAGGAAGATACATCCCCCTCAAACCCTTCTTGGGTGAAAAATATGCAATTCCCTTGATCCCAACCAAAATCTTGAGCTGAAACAGAAAATGTAACGTACTTACTCAAAAAAAACACTTGGTCACCCAAACCCGTAACTTGCTCCCAAAAGTAATTAGCCTCCCCATTTAGTGAAATGGAACACCCCAAAGCGAATACTTTAAGCTCAAGCGGCTCTCCACATTCAAAATCACCATCATAACCTCCTATATCAGAATCATAGTAATAACCAATATCATTCACTTTATGAACCAGGTATAACCTCCCACATGATTCCACCAAGTAATGGTAAAGCCCATAAGAGTTGTACTCTTCCAAGTGACCATTAATGATCTCTTTCACCTCGACTGTCACAGGATCAATAACTAGCAGCTTGCCCTTACTCGGATCAGTAGCATAAAATCTGCCCTCTAATGTATCAGCCATTTAGCTACTGATCCGAGTAAGGGCATTTAGCTTTTAGTAATATAATATCTCCAGTGTCTAAGGCTCTCTAATGTATCAGCCATTTAGCTTGGTTATGATAATTTACTGAATGGTGTTGGCTAAAGAGATGGAATTTGGATGGTATAAAATGAGAGATGTACCTCTCTTATAATGTATAGGGGAATCGTATGTACGAGTATTAATTTAGTGGGAACCTGAATGAATTTGGAAGATCCGTAATGCATAGGAAACTGAAGAGCTTTGGCAGTTGATGTCTATTTATGCCATTTTTTTGGTTACTGAGTAAGATTCTCGTGCTTCGTATCTGACTAATCAATTGCTTTACATTACAACGAGTAAAACAATTACTTGTATTACCAAGATCGATCGGAAGTTGACTGAACTCTTCAAATTCTTTAGACTGCTCCAATTCTTATTGAAAATAGATTAGCATATGTAGCATATACAAAGTATTTTGAATCACCTCATGCACATGTATTTATACTACTTGTACTCGTACTACATATGCTCCCCCCAATTTAGTATTTATTTATTTTGGAAACACTCCCCAATTCAATACTACGTACAAATCTTTTTTTTATCTGTTTCTGATTAAGAACAACATTTTGGTAAGGGACTTAAAAGACTAAAGTTACATGTAATGAGGAGAGAGATGAAAAGAAACGAAAATTTAAAAATAAAAACAAATAATTTGTTGCAAATTATTGAGATTAGCCATGGTTTTAAAGTAGAATTTGACTCAATCCAATTAATTGTAGATGGAGAACTAACATCTTCCCCAACATCATAAAAGTACTAAACTACACAAGCAACTATTTAATGCAGCGGATTAAAGAACATAAAAGTTTTTCATCAAAATATAAGCACAAGTACCACACATGCAACTCCAGCACTTGAAAATCATCAATTGAGTTTATAAACTTTAATTAAACCAGAAACAAGTGAGAATTTTGGGCACTTGAACACAAAGCAATTCCATCTCAACTTCAAGGTCTACTTGTCGAGAAAATTTGAACAAAAAAATTTGCTAATTGGTTCAAATGAGCAACAAGCATCTTTTTCAATCATCAATAGTAAGCTACAGAGTATTAAGAATTTCCTCAGCAAAGCAACAATGAACCAAACAAGCCACAAAACACAAAATAATAGAATCCCAAGATTATTAAAGCATATCATCTATCCAACAGTAGTTGTCAAATAAAGTACCTAATACTCCATATGATCATACGTAGATAAATGTACGACAAAACATACAAAGTAGGTTACTTGCAAATTCTTCATATACTGGATTCATCTAGACAAAGCTCCTCGGTCCAATATACCGCCTCCACCAAGGGTCATTTCAACGACAGTAAGTAAAGAGAAACATGTTATGAGCCTTTTGCCACATAAGAAGTTGTAGCCCTGGAAATTGTAAAAGAAATTAGTTCATAAGCCGATAAAGGTACTTCACAAATAATTGTGAACGAAAACTTATAGGTCAAATTGAAGCAGACTATGACCTTTTGATGCAAAAGTTCAAGCAATCTTGTGTATGTTTACAGAAATTTAGATCACTGCAAGATGACTTCCATACTTACCATATAATTCTGAACTATCTCATCAGTAACCAATTCTCATAGCCTGAGCTTGAACCCCTTAGATAGAAAGTTATCCAAATTATCCCTGAATAAAAGAAGGGAGAGCTTCAGAATGTGCATTAATAATTTATCATGGATACTTACTAGACAAAATAATGAAAGAAGACCCTATCAAAGCTACCCAAATATCAACTGATGCAAGAGGAAACATGCATCTGTTTAGACGCAAACAAAAACACAAAAAAAGAGAAGAGAAGGGGGGGGGGGGGGGAGGAGGGATGGATAATGGGACACCTATAAAATAGATGAAACACAATTTCAGAATAGGCAACATGCTAGGATCATCATAACCGATTCACAAAGAGCTCCATAAGTCATTAGGTCAATATGTAGATTAAATTAACATAGGAATACAGCTTGATTGACAGAACATTCAAAATTCATCATATATAAGCCTCTTTTTAGATGAGATGACAGCAACATTGGCAGTGGCCTCTGCATTCTCATAGATACCACAACAGCCATTAAAAACTTATTAATGTATCCATGTAAAAGTACAACACAGAAGCGCAATTACAATTGACATAATCTTAAACAAACTATGACACAGCACACAGGTAATTCGATTGAACGAGCTTTCTTCAGCCCTCAAAGGTTCTCACGGATTGCAATGTATCAACTTTCGTTTTGCTAAATCAACCAAATATTGCACCTCTCCTAGTCTACTTGTCCTATTAGGATGACACGAAAATCAGAAGGATTAGTCAGAGCTGCACTCACCCCTAATGAGGCATCTAAATTCGTCTTTTTTTGTGAGTGTTAATCATTAAAAGGATCTAAGACATGGATGGCTTTCCTGCATTTATATACATTAGAAATCACATCTAAGTGACTACCTGATTGAAGTGATAGATACATGTGATGAAAGGGTATTGAAATGTAATTGAGAGTAGGAGTAATAAAGCAAACAATTTGTCCGGTAGCAGCTATGTTGCACGGATACCGACACAGACACGGACACGGACACGATACGGACACGGGAAAACGGCAATCCTGAAATAGGGGACACGGGTACGGCATATAACAAGGCATATAATATATCAAAAAAACGAGAATTTGACAACCTATTCAATAAAACACTAAATAATTAGCCTCAAAACACACAATTTTGTTAAAACAAGTAAATAAACAAAGTGTACGAACGTAGTCTCATACATATCAAGAAACCATCAAACCAAATACATGTCTTAATAATAGTTTTACAAATCATAAATAAAATAAACAAAAGTACTAATAGTTTCATTCTTCACCATCACCAAGTACATCATCAAAAATCATATTCTCCATCTCGGGTTCAAGTGAGAGCTCGGCCATCTCTAGAATACCAACCTCTCCTAGGTTGTCATGCTCATCTCCACCCACATCCCACAACTTAGATCTCCCCTTAGTGTATTCTTCACTTCTCCTAGAAAGTAATCGAATGTTGTTATGAATGTATACCAAGTCTTGAGCACGTTTAGGAGTAAGCTTATTTCTAGTGCAAGAATGAATAAACTTATAGGTGCTCCAATTCCTTTCACTACAAGAAGAGGAAGAAGGTTGACCTAATAGCTTATAAGCCAAACCTTGAAGCATAGGCACTTGGGAACCATAAGTTGCCCACCAATTTTTAGCATCCATCAAAGCCATATCATGCATGCAATCAATGTTGAGAAAGATCCCCTCTGATTTTTGTGAGAATATTGCAAATTCCGTGTTGATCTTGAATCTTTCATCGGGACTTTGGAAAAGCCTTCGAAAGCATTGTAATCTTTGTGTGGAAATTTCATTGTCGGCATTTGGAGCAACTCGTCCCGGGACCTCATTAAGCCATTCTTCCGTGTAAAATCTTTAACAACAAAATAAGAATAGCCATAAAAAATTAAATAAAAAACAAGGAAAAATAAATAAAGATGAATTAAATAAGTAAAAATTACCTTGGATTCAAAGAATGTGCTAATGAATGAAGTGGAGTACTACCCTTACTCCAACGACTACTAAGAATCCCTTTAACTACATTAAAGAAGGTAGATTGTTCATAATCTAGTTTACCTTCTTTCTTGTAGATGGCATCTTTCACCTTTTGAACCATAATGTCCCATCTTTCATAAACCAAATGCAAGGAAGATTTGTCGGTGTCACAAACCCTAATCATCTCATAGATTGGGCGTGTAAAATCAAGAATGTAATCAACTTTTTCCCACCATATTTCATCCAAAATCTTTTCCCTTACATGTGAGGCTTGCCCGCGTCGATCATCTTTGTATAAGGACCAATTCTCACTAATAACCATTGATTGAAGTGATGTTTTAAGGAGTTTCAACCTTTTAAGCATGCACACAATTGAAGCAAAACGAGTGTCGGCAATGCAAAGTAGTTTTAATGGCGAAAACTTATTGAACATTGAAAGCCTCATCGAATGATTCATTATGTAATTTTTAATGAACAAGGCATCTGCATGAACTTCCGTTATCCAATGACATTCATCATATACTTCAACATTATTCAACACATTCTTAGCTGCACAGATGCTTTTCATTGCAAGATTAAGTGTATGAACAACACATGGTGTCCAATATATATGAGGATACCTACCCTCAACCAATTCCCCTGCAGCCTTACAATTACTTGCATTATCTGTGATTATTTGAACAACATTTTGATCTCCAATTTCATCAATCACCTCACTTAGTAAGGTAGCAATGAAATCTTTGTCCTTAATCTCACCCGAGCAATCAATAGCTTTCATAAACATAAGACCCGTTTCAGAAGCAATCATAATGTTAATCAAAGGCCTTCTTTGTGGATCACTCCACCCATCACTAACAATGCTAACACCTTTTGTTTTCCATGTGGCTTTCATAGGTTGTAATAACCTATCCACATTTTCTGTCTCTTTACAAAGCAAAGTTGTTCTAAGTTTGTTGTATCCGGGAGGCTTATAACCAGAGAGATTAGAATTGGCAGCCATTGTATATGAACTAACATAGTAAGGGTTTCTAGCAAGATTAAAAGGCAACCCCCCTGTGTAAAACATTCTAGCAATTTCAGAATCCAAGTGGTCACGAGATTTCACATTAAAAGCATCGGAAATTGTATTTTTTGATTTCCTCTTCTTTACATTATCAAATGAACCTAGTCTCATTGATGTAGCTTCAGTTGATGTGTGAGAAGATATGGGTTCATTTGAAAAAGGTGGAACTTTTGGTAACAAAGATTTTTTATAATCCTCGGATTCACGATGAAGCGATCTTAGTTTAGCAAGGTCATCAATTTTCACTTTATTACAAGTTTGAATCCCTTTCCCTTGTTCACCTAGCAAATGAGCTTTCACTCTAGTGTATGAACCATTTTTAACTTCGCCGCAAAAGTTACATTTCCAATTATAATTTCCTCCACCACCCGATATTTTATCACCCTTAACAACAAACTTCCACAAAGGGTAGAGGTCTTTCATTGACTCAGATGAATTACTACTACCACTGACATTGCATGAAGCAGAGGAACTAGAAGACATTCCTGACAATTTCAGCAACACAACAGCACATTTCAGCAAGACAACACAGCAAAGTGAGCAACACAACAATACAATTTCAGCAACCAGCAAGTCAGCAATACAATTTCAGCAACCAGCAAGTCAGCAACTCAGCAATACAATTTCAGCAACCAGCAAGTCAGCGAGTCAACAATACAATACAATTTCAGCAACCAGGGCACAATACAATTTGACAGCTGAACCCATCTCACAATTAACATCACAATTAACAATTAACATCACATTTAATAATTAACAATTGCGAATTACAGTGATACTGCCTCCACGGCTCCACCTCACAATTAACATCAGCATTCAGCAATTGAATTTCAGAAAACAAAGTACAGAAGACAGAAGTCACATAACCCTTACCTGGTGGTGGACTGGTGGCTGTCGAGTGGCGACGGACGGTACTGGGTGGTGGACTGGTGGCTGAGGACGAACAACGACAGCCTGAAACCTAGGTTGAGCGAGTTAGCGACTGAATTAATTGAATTTAAAAAAAAAAACAAAGTACAGAAGCCAGTCAAGCCACGGCCTGAAACCTAGGTTGAGCGAGTTACCTGGTGGTGGTCTGGTGGACTGGTGGCTGGCGACACTGGGGTGGTGGCTGAGGACGAACAACGAGCGGCGAGTGAAGTCTGTGTCTCTGTGAGAGTAGGCTGTAGGCGACGAAGCGACGGTGAACTGAGTGACGGTCTGGACCAGCAGCAGCAGGTGAAGCGACGGCAGTTATCGGCGCGACGGTGAGTGGCTGACGGTCTGGGACTCAGGGAGCTTGAGTAAGGCAGTAGGTTTGTGAATTGTGAATGGAGGAATTGAGAATGTGAGAGAGTCAGAGAGAATGGAGGAAGTTGGGCTTGTAAAGCCGTAATTGCGTGTCCATCACAAAACGGACCGTGTCTGGGTGAGACACGGCCCGTGTCCGTACAGAAGAAATTCAAAAAAAAAAACGGACACGGATTTTCGCGTGTCCAAGACGTATCCCCCCGTGTCCCACGTGTGTCCGTGTCCGACACGCGTGTCGACTCGGACACGCCACTTGGCAGGCGTGTCCGTGCATCATAGGGTAGCAGTGAGAACTTTGAAACTCTAATGTCAAAGATGCATAACAAAGGCCTCATAAATCTTTGATCAGAATCTCACTTTGATAGAAAGAACATCATTCAAAAGCTATTCAGGATTCTTCTATCTTGCTCTCATACTTAGTATCCCAAACAGCAGATAATAGCTAAAAGAACATCCTATTCCAAGAAAATGACAATACTTAATAGTTACAAAATAACAACATTAGAATATTAATTAAGGAAGAAAAAAAATCCAGATCAAGGTAGAGAATCAAAATTTTATAATCATATCATTTTAAGATAACAAAACATGCTAGCTTCAGCAAACACTTAGAAAAAAATTACTTGAGTGAGACGTCAGAAACATTGGTAGCAGCTTATGTGATACTATTGTAATTTAGGTCTAACCTCACTCCAAAATAAAAAAAACAACAATCCATAACAAACATATAGTAGTAAAAAATAAGGGTAACACTGTTTAAAGACACATAGAATAGATGATCGACCTAAAAATGAACCACATGCATACTATGACAGTATGACTGACACCTAGCTAAGTAACTAAGCAGCATTCATTTGACACTGATAGCAAGCTCTAAGAAACTTCCCCTGTATAGCAACCAAGTATAGCACAAAGAGGGATCATACATTTGGGATTTGGCGAAAAGGAAATGCAAAAAAATAAATTAAATTAAACTTTTTACTTCTTTTTGTTCTTCTTTGGCGAGGTTCCCCTTTCAAGACGCGGCTTATCTCCAAACGAAACAAGGCTGCCAATGAAACACACAGTCCCACAACTTCATTTGGCCGCCCACGAACCGTGCATCTATCAAATTTGTTGGACTTGACATCATACCATCCAAGTCTCTCACCGTCTATCTCCAACAAAATCTTCCGACCATCTTTAGCATAAACAACAGGCTTAATCTCAATAAGAGCCCCAAAATTCTCCGGTTTGCAAATCCTAAACAATCTAGTCCAAGACTCTTTCTTTCCATGCTCTTTCATCACCCACAAATCGACACGATTCGCAAACTGTCTTACAGTCAACATCTCAGGGGTTAAATCAGCAAGATTTTCATTATGAATATTAAGCACCAAACACAAACACCCACCCAATTCAGCCAAGAAAAACATCAAATCACTCCTTAACATATTATCATCTTTCGGGCATTCAATTAGCGATAAACTCTCAGTCTGAAGATTAAAACTGACAATGAACTTAAATTGCGACTCCAATTACTTGGTTACCATGAAATGTAAAGCCTCATTAACAAGCAAACCACTGAATCCTCTATAACCGAGATAATATGGAAAACTTCCAACAGTTTTCCATGAATTGTTGTTCGAACTATACAATATCACTTCACTCTCATCAACCACCCTCAAAACCTTGTAACCGTCGTTCTTGCTATCGTATCCAAACCCTAACACAATGAAATCATTACTAGGGTTTGAAATTTGATCGACGGGGATTTCACGACGTGATTTGGTAAGAGGATTGTATAAAACGACGTTGTTTTTGGATTCATCAGAGATGCAAACGACGCCGTTGCAGGAACCAACCAATTTGACAGCATTGTGGTGTTTCAGAGGGTGGTGGAGCTCCGAGCAAGAGATAAGGTTATGGTTGAGGTCGAGGTCGGCGGAATGAAGAGATGAAGAGTATTCAGATGAAACGAGGAGATGACGATCTGAATTAGAAATTAGGGTTTGTTTGAGGTGTAGTTTGATGAAATTAGGGGATTTGATCAAGGAATTCCAGGATTTGCAGACGCATTTGAAGCGGAGAAGAGGTTTCGCTGGAACTCTTGACAGAATATCGGCAAGTATCTCAGAAGGGAGTGCCGCCATTGTTGATTGAATTCAAGCCCTAAGGTTCGAAACTTTGTGATCAAAGGCGCAATTGTTGATCGAGTAATTAAAGTCAATTTAGAATGTTAGGGTTTTAATTTTTTATTTTTTTTTTGATGAAAATTGATTTTAGGATCACGGACTCTGAAACTTGAAAAGAAGCATGGGGCGAATATCTGTATCGTTAGTACTAACGGTTCAAATAATCGATACTCAATATCACTAAAAGTGATATTTATAAGCCGAACCGATAAGTTTGGGTATCCAAACTTCGGATACCTGGATTTTCAAATCGGTTATCGGGTATCCAGTTAGATATCCAACAATGATAATTTAGTTATTATGATATCATTTAACACTAATTAACAATAATACCACGTGTTCTTGACCAAATCCATTCATAATATTACTAATGAAAAATAGATTTAAGTAGGAAAAAAAAACTGCTTATCAAATCGGATCGGTTAACCGTTAATTTTAAAATGATACTCAATAACCATATATACCTGATAACAAATCATCGAAACGGATACCCGACTGTGATGATTATTGGAACGGGTACCCTAATTTTCGGAACAATTACGGATCGGATGTTCGAGTAGTTTTGCTCAGTCCTAAATTCCTTAGCTCTTACTTGTTAATATTGTATTATTATTATTTATCTATACTAACGAGTATTATTTAAAAACACAAACCATGCATCATGTCACATATAAAGTGTAAACTTTATTTTCAACAATGTCACCTCATCTTTTCATTAATTAATATCATTTCTCATAAGTAAAAGAAAAAGACACTAGCTTTAATTAAATAAATGGATGCATGTGTTTTTTTTTTTTTCTTATTCACTTTCCCCCAACTTGTAACTCAACTGCTATTTGTCGCTCCCAATTTACCAGGTAACGCTCCCTTTTTGACTTGAATGGACCACTATGCCCTTTATGCAATTTGTGTTATAAAAAGGACCTTGTTCCCCATTTGGACACAATACATGAAACGGTCCCCTCACTTCACGACATTGCTGTCCCGAGCCTCCCAAAATCGGTCCCCACGACCTTGCAACCAAATCGGTCCCCACGACCACCTAAATTTTCTATTTTAAAAAATCGTGAAATTTTCCGACGGGTCTTAAGTCATGGACGGTGAGTGGAACATACGTACGCCGGAGAATGCGTCGGATCATTCTGTAAGTTTTTTTTTTAATTTTCGGTAATTAGGACATCCGCCTAAAATTTCCGGATGTCCTAGGTACATCCGCCTAAAATTTCCGGATGTACCATGAAACATCCGGAAATTTCAAGCGGAAGATGGGATCCGCCTAAAAAATCTGGATGTTCTATGGTACATCCGGAAATTTTAGGCGGATGTCCCTATTCATATATTTTTTTTAAATGTTAAGTACGTTTATATAATTTTTTTTTATGTTTATTAAGTTTTTTTTTTAATGTATTTTTTTCGTGGTCTTGTGATTATTGTTGTGATTAAGTATTTGATAATTAATGTAATTTTGTTGTATTAATATGATTATTAGTAATATGTTTATTTTTTGTTTCATTATTATTTTTATTATTATTGAAAATATTATTATTATTATTATTATTATTATCGTAGTTGTTGTTGTTGATATTATTGTTGTTGTAGTAGTTGATATTATTATTGTTGTTGTTGCTGTTATTTTTATTGTTGTTGTTGTTGATATTGTTATTATTAATTAGTAGAAATATAATTTTAATATTGTTATTATTTTTTTTTTATTATTATTATTATTATTATTATTATTTATTAATTAATTAATTTTATGGTCTTATAAATTGTTTTGTAGTTGTTATTATAATTTTTTATTATCATTAATATTGTAATTGTTTAGTATTTGTTGTTATTATTATTAGTATTGTTATTATTATTATTAGTATTGTTTTTATTATTATTATTATAATTATAATAATAATTATTATTATTATTATTGTTTTATTATTATTATTTTGACATAAAGCATGTTTTGTTTAATTTGTATAGGATATGGAATCTGAGGAAGGCGGTGACGGTGCGAATTATAGTGGGAATTTTGTCACCGATACGTTTTTTCCTACATTTGACGATGCAGTTACATGGGCTGATGGTGTTTCCATAAAATTGGGATTTATATTGGTGAAATCGTCTTATAACAAAACCAGAGATGGTCGGCCGTATCGGTATTTGCGATGTGATCGGTCACGAAGGAGCAAGCCGAGAGATTTGGAGAACGCGATACGGAAGGACACCAAAACCAAAGCTAATGGTTGTCCATTCTACATCAAGATATATTATGATGTCAGCACCGAAAGTTGGAAGATCATTGCGAAAAATGATCACACCGGGACACATAACCACCCAATGATTGTGTACCCAGAGGGTCACCGTAAAGTGAGCGGATTGAGTCCGGGTGCAAAACAGGTTGTGCGGGACATGACAAAGTCCAAGGTTGTTCCCCGTAACATCATGTCCACTATTGCCGAGCAATTTCCTGATGATCATCCAAACATCCGACACATTTACAATTGCCGAAATGACTTCAGGATGGAGATGTCCGATGGAAGAGGAGTTGTTCAGCAATTTCTTCATCTGGCGAGAGAGAGAGTAAATACATTTATTGGGTCACGAACGATGATCACAACGTTTTGCAACATGCATTTATGGTGCACCCGATCATGGTCAACATCCTCCGTACATACCCACATGTCATAGGTATGGATTCTACTTACAAGACCAATCGATATAACATGCCTTTCTAAAGTCCCATAATTAAGTTCATAACATAATTAAAACCACTAACAGAACATCTAATCAAAATAATCTAAAGTCCCATTTTTTACTTTCAATCAAATACAAGCTGCTCAGTCATTGTTCGAGTCTCACTCGACATTTCAGGATACTCAGCTAGTGCTCTTTGGTGAATCTCCATGGACCGACCCATCCACTGCAAATCAAACAATAACATATTATAAACACAAAAATTCATAGAAGTCATTGTTAATATAATAATAAGCATAAATACTTACGTAATTAGTGTTAGTCCGCTCAGGCAGGTTGCTTGTAACTCCTGCACCTGGAGATACCCGCGAGTGAGAAAACCTGTACAGCCACTGCATGTAACTAGGCGCAACCGAAGGAGCTGCAGCACTAAGCCTGGGTAGGGCACCTAAAACAACACTCTGAGATACCCAGGGAAAAACCTGTTCCACATCACAGCTGTCATCTCAGTCGGGAAGTCTACCCGATACATCTTCAAGTTAGTCGGCCTCTTGGCCTTCTCTGGCCTGATGATCTTGCGGGGAATGCCTTGCACGAAACCAAGCTGGCGCACCACTCTATCACGAATGTACGGCTCAATGATGTTACGGTACTGGATGCAGCCAATGAATAAAGTGGGGGGCACTCGTAATGCAGGATCAGCTCCGTACGGTAGCCAGTTCACCTCACGGTCATTAAGCGCATCAATCCTAGTACGAAAAGCTAACAGGCGCTCTAGGTTCTTGCTAGGACATCCCGCTCCAACATCCCAAGCAGACGCATGAGGCATTTGAAGTTCCCGGGTCAAGGTACCCCACTATTAGAAAACAGCTTAATTCCGACGGAAAAATTCCGTCGGAAACACCATGTTTTCCATCGAAAACTGTGTTTACGACGGAATTCCGTCGGAAGGTGTCGTCGGAAAAGTATTTGTAGGAAAATTGACATTTTACGCGGAATTTCCGTCGAAAACACTTTTCCGACGGAAATTCCGACGGAATTTAGCGTCGAAAGAGGTTTTTCTGGTCTGGAAAAGTCCGTCGGAAATTTTCGACGGAACCCGATTCCGTCGGAAATTTATTAAAAAAAAAAAAAAAGCCCGCACCACCAACCCCCACCACCAGCTACCACCCCATACCACCAGCCCACCCAACCAGCCCCCACCGCACACCATCACACTCACACCGACACCACCCCACTGCACACCACCACTCGCACCGACACCACCACACTCGCACCGACACCACTTCACTGCACACCACCACACTCACACCGACACCGCCCCACTACACACCACCACACTCACACCGACACCACCACACGCACACAATAACCCCAAAACACCAAACTTCGCAAAACCCAACCCAACCCAAAACCCAGCCACCCCTAACCGAGCCACACTACCCACCCCTAACAAATCCCCACCAAAACCCACACCACCCTGACCGAATACACTAACCAAGCCACAACCACCACGAAAATCACCATAATACGACCCAGACCACAGCCACCACCGAAAATCACCCAAATTTAGATCCACCACCACCGAAAATCATCCAAAAATTAAATAAAAAATCAAAATTAAATATTAGAACGTACCTTAAGATAAAAAAAAACTTCGAAATTAACCACGAATTTGGTTTAACAAGGCCAAATTCGACCACGAAAACCCTAGACCTAGGATTTTCATGGTCGAATTTGACCTTAAATACCATTAATTTGACTAACATCACCATAAGCAACATAAAAGGAGGAGAGCTTGCTTGAGAAGAGAGTAAGGAGGAGGAGGAGGAGAGGAGAGAGAAAGCGTGAGAAGAGAAGGAGGAGGAGGAGGAGAGAGAGAGCGTGAGGAGAGAGAAAGGGAGGATACAGAGAGCGTGAGGAGAGAGAAAAGGGAGGAGAGAGGCGGATTGTGAATGAGGGGGGTTGGGGCGCCGTTTTAGTATTAGGGTTTTGGGGTTTTTTCCTTTTTTTTTAATAAAAAATTAAACTCCGTCGGAAATGGGTTATAATCCGTCGTAAATTTCCGACGGAATTAAATTCCGTCATAAATTTACGACGGAATTAAATTCCGTCGGAAATTATACCATTTACGACGGAATTTTCCGTCGTAAATGGTATAATTTCCGACGGATTAAAAATCCGTCGTAAATTTACGACGGAATTTAAGTCCGTCGGAAATTTCGTACTTTCCGACGGATTTTCTTGTCCGTCGGAACGGTTCCGTCGGAATTAAGCTGTTTTCTAGTAGTGCCCTGCTGTGGCCGAAAGCACGGAAAGTACTCGTAAATCCACGCTTGCAGAAGCGTGAGACAACCAGCAATCGAATCAGCACCTTTCCGTGATGTCGTGCCCAGTTGCCGATACAAGTAGGCCAGTGCAGCTGTTCCCCAAGCATACTCGTTAATAAGGACATCGGTGTGACATAGTTCGTGGAGGAAGGAAGGATGCGTACGGTTACCACTCTTTTCTACAAATAGTGTACCTCCAAGCACTAACCACAAGTATCCATCAAGCTGCTCACTAAAATCCCGGTTAACCGCCAATGTCGACTCAAAAATCTTATCAGTCAACACCCTACTACCCTGCCAAATGGTCTCTGTGCCGCAAACCTTAAACAG